CGAAAGGAAAAACATATAACTAATACTCAATACTAATAATCAATCAAATAAACACAATTCGTTAAATATAAGTTAAATTGGATATAATTAGTTCAAACACATTATATATACACAATTTGATAGGAGAAAATGAAAATTTTGGTTCTAATTAGTTGAAAATTTAATTGGATGGTGAAGATTTGTAGTAGATGTTATAATTTATAGAGAAATTATGCACAAATTTTAAAAAAAATAGAAGGGTTAAGATTTTGATAAAAGGCGTGAGGGAGAGAGTAAGAGAGAAAAGGAAAAAAAAAATCAAATTTATTGGGATTTTATCCCTATTTGGTTGGGATTAAAATCGAATTTGTAGTAAATTTTGATAAAAGTTGAAAAGTTATGGATTTCATGTTATTAAAATTAATTGTTAACTTTGATTTAAATTAAAATTTAGATTTCAATTGATACCAAACAAGACTTTATAAAAAAAAAAAATCTGAAAAGTTGAGGGGTGAGGTGACCCCCCTCCCCCGGTTTGCCAGTGCCTATAAGGGGGCTTTAATCAACAACCTATGCCGCCTATAATCAGGGTCGTCAACCTCGACGGTTTGGCTACTAACATTAAACACATCTTTATGTTCTAAAATGAATAGTACTAAAACAGTGGTTACACGAAAGTTGATCTTTTAATGTGGAATTCGATTACATGCATCGTCCATCCATAGTTACATCTAAGGAAAGATAGATAATATTGTTAATATTATGGGAGACTCCCACCTATTAAGAGGTTTTAATCAGCAACATGTCGCCTATAATCAGGGTCGACCTTGACCATTTGGCTACTAACCTTAAATACACATTTATATTCTGACACAAATAGCACTAAAATGATAGTTACACAAAAGTTGGTGTTCTATCTCTGAATTCGTTTGCATGCATCATCCAACAATCATTACATCTACTGAAAGATCAAACCTACACAGTCGTAAACACGACATTTATTCAATGACACAGTACCTGCAGATTATTGTTGGAAAGGTCTAATTTGCAGATGTTCCCTAGATTGAGAAGAGGATGAGACAGTGCCTCTAAAAGACATCCCACTAAGATCAACAATTACAAGCTTTTGTTCTTCATTTGATACTGTTCTCCTCCTATCTTGTGACCTCTTCTTCATGTCTATTTTCAAGTGTTGCTGCTGGTACATCATCTTTACTTACAAACAGAGCCTGTATGTATATATATGAATATAGATATAGAAAAAATCAGAGGTGGGGTGGGGTGGGGATAAGTAAGAGTTCTTATATGTGAAAGAAGGGGGTTTATATATATAAAATTGATTTTCGGATTAAAGCGGCCGTATTTTTCGAACTGATAGCTGCCCGTGAAACGAGGTCAACTTCAACATTATCATTTCTGCTATTTGCATTAAATAGCAGCGTTGAACAAATCAAAATGTGCATTACCGCATTCTAGATATGGACAGAGTTGTGCTGTTACAACTTGCAACATTTATCATTTAAGTTGGGTAAATTTTAAATGACATCCCTTCATGATTAAATCAATGCAGTTAAAATCGGACTGAAATACCATGAAACGATCCATAATTCAGTCCAGTTACAGATGTTAGATCATAGAAACTTACAACCATTGAGATGATTGTTTTGCTCTTATTGACCTTTGAATCCGACGGGCTCCATCTGTTGACCGAGCTAGGCAAGAGATCACGCAAGATAAGCACTCAGTCGCGCATCGCCACTTCCACGTGTGCCCTCTGAGGCGATGAGACCATGTCATTGGACACCTTGCCCAGAAAGTGTTGTTCTAGGCATGGCATTACCTTTTTGCTGGAGTATTGTTAAATGATGGAACCCTACATCGAATAAAAATAAAAATATAGACTAATTTATAAGAGTTTGTGTTCTAGGCATGACATCACCTATTTGCTGGAGTATTGTTAAATGATAGAACCCTACATCGAATAAAGATGAAAATATAGACTAATTTATAAGAGTTTGTGCTACTCCTCTTAAAAATATTAGACTTTTTAAGATTGGAACCCAAAATCTTAATATAGTATCATAGTCCGTTAAGCTCCAACAAGTGATTCGATCCAATTAAGATTGAGCACGCGAATTTTAAGATTGGTCTACTCAAACTAGCCGCCATCTTTTAGGGGGACATGTTAAGGGATATAATCCAACATCAAAGATAAAAACATAAACCAATTTATAAAAAATTGGGATACTCATCTTAATAAGATTGACCTTTTAAATAGAACCCAAAATCTTAACAAGTATTTTATCGAGGCGAATGATGTCTTCTGTGATGGGCATTTTTCACAATCCTCGCTTCGGCCAAATTACAATACACTTGATTGAATGATCGATGTGATAGCTCTACAACTTCGTTTGATCAGATAAGTTTTGGTACACTGATTTTTTTGTTTAGGATCCAACCACATCATAAACATATCCCAGATCTTATTTTCTCGGCAGATGACTCAGCAACCACCAATGTCATCTCCCCAAAACTGGCTTTCGAGGTTTCCCGGGTTTAGGGTTATCAAGAGAGAATGCCTGCAAATCTTATATTCCACAGTTGAGTGATTCAAAATCAATAAACACAAAATCCCATGACTCGTACAAAAAACAATCCTAAACAATACAAGTAGATTGGAATTTTTCAATAAATACTTGTGAAGAAAACTCACTAAATACTGGTCACTAGAAGTGTACTGTGCATTGGGGAGAGATTATGTTGGATACAAGTTCTCAATCTCAGATGACACAAACAAAATCACACTAGACGAGAATAAACCAATAAAGCAGTCAGCTAATTACTTGTTACTTCTTCATCGGTATCCCACAAAAACAATACATAGATCATTCATAATATACGTAATCAGCACTCCCAACAACTTGATATTCTGTCTATGAAAATGTTAGCCCTCTACGTCAGTCACTTTGGAGAAGAAAACCATGCAGTAAAGTCAACCTGAGAAAACACATTTAAATAAATGAATACTTGTTTCTTACCGGCAATAAACACGAGGCCCCATCACCAGCCAGGATGGATGTTTCTCTACGAGCGAACAAAAAGTAGTATTTACCTCTTTGCTGATGCGATTTCCTTGTAAAGAATTTGCTAAGAGGCCTATTAGGAACGGGAATCAGTTTCCCGACAATTGCAAGTGGCCAGCTGGTCAAGAAGTAACAGATAAATTACACGTGAGCTACAAGAATTACGAGCATGCTAAACAGAAGTCAGAGACCCATACTTCAATGAAAAACGAACCTGATAGCACCAATTGCAATGGAAACGAGCCACAACTTCCAACTGAGTCGAACGGTTGAAGTGAACTTCCCAAGAAACATGATTATTATCACCTGAATAACAAGAGCAGATATATGAAATCAGCAAAGATGAAGAGACCTGAAAGGTAAATTTGCTTCTGGAAAGAGCAAAGATGTTGGCGAATACCTGGAGCACAAGAGTAACGCCAACGATACCCATGAATAGACGATTTTTGGTTACTCCCTTCCACACATTAATCTCATCTGGTTTTCTAGCATTAAATTCATTAAATATCTGAAATTATATAACATCAAACGGTATCAGTTAAATCACATTCTAAAACAGCAATCAAAGATTTAACATACTTATGAACTAGACAGTGTGTAATTACCTGGCAGAAAACAAATGCATTAAAAATCAGCGTATTCTTCTCTTTGAAGGCATGGTCATGCGTGTCATGCTCCAAATTCAAGATTTTTGTTCCACCAAAATTGAGGATGAGGAGAACTGTCACTTGATATAGAGCCTGCAATTATTGAACCACCAATAGAGATTACAGCAAAACTAAAAAGAACGTCTAATTTTCTTTTCCTAGCCTCTAAAATGTAATAAAATAGTTACAAAAACTTGTACCTGTATGATCAAGTTCCTCCACATGATATTTGTTATGAGAGGTTCCCTAAAATAGCAGCGGTATCTTAATCAACAAGGATTCAATATGTAATTCACATCACAGAAAAATGAACTGCAACCCATCCCAGTTCCACATTGTTAAAGACTTGCTGCCATTCTGTTTCTATTTCAGAGCCCGAGCACACGTCTAAATATCGAAGTAGGGTAACCAAGCAAAGCTTGCAGAATTTTGCAGTGATTACCTATAATCTTAGGCAGATCATTAAGGTTATGTGTTTAATAATATGATAGGACGGTGGAGTTCTTATTGCACTAATATATCTTATTTATGTTTTCCATCTCTTTCTTTTTTAAGAGGGAACAAGAATCAGTTTCCAACGAAAATATCTGAATGACATGGGTACTAAGGTGTATAAATATACAAAGAAAACATATCTCCAATAACACAGTGCTTGCACAGAACACATCCAGAAAGAATTGTGATGGAATTTTATTTCTCAATGGGCAATAGTCCACTATGATTACCACCTAACATGTAAAAGCAGCACTCCAACAAGGATTTTGCATTAATCATTTCTCTTTTGGTAAGCCAGAAGGGGAGAAGAGTAGTCTAACCTGTCCAGACATGGTACGTAATAAACCCAATTTTTAAATTTCACTTAAACAAGGATTTTAGAACATAACATCATAGGTGGTCAGTCTAACCTTCTACCCACGGGAGGTCTACACATGAGATGATCAGTGGGAGGTTCCGTTGCAAGTGCAAGAGCTCCTAGTGTATCCATGATAAGATTTACCCACAGAAGCTGTGTAGAAGAAATAGAATGTGAAAGTTACTACACAAGTACTCATCCCCACATAAGAAAGAGCTGAAAGATCTACGACCATACAAGCTAGCAGGTGGAGCGAGAGATTACGAACCTGCACAGCATTTAGTGGGACATTACCAGAAGAAACTGCTGACACAACATTGATTATCAGGGCAGCAACATTGACTGTGAGCTGAAATTGAATAAATTTCTGTATATTGGCGTACACAGATCTTCCCCACCTCACAACCTGCAATTCGTAAAAAATGTACTAAGAAATCACAATAATTCAATTCTGAGATGCTTTGTCTCTAACTAGACATAGATAAAAATCTACCCCCACTGCAAAATAAACGCCAAACCGCAAAACCCGTAAACCCTCACGCCCCTATCCTTACACCTGTTATGGAGGTCGGGGATCCTTGAATTATAGAAAAACCGATAATGATCTCATTTATTTTTTCGAATATTTTAGTTTAAAATTTAGATAATGAGAGAAAAGTTCTATAACTCCATGGAAGCTGAAGAAAAACTTGACGCATCCAGAAAGAGTGATGATAATTTCATTTGAAGAAATATTATCCATGTTCCTGACTGAAGGAAATTGCAGTAGTTTTGCTTAAAAGCATATGAACAAGCATTGCTAAGAGTTCATTTATGATGAGAAAATTATGATCAGTGGCATCATATTGTGAAATGGGGACTGACCTTTACCACCGTTGAAAAATTATCATCGAGTATGATAATATCTGAGCTCTCTTTAGCAACTTCTGTGCCTTGAATACCCATTGCAAGACCTATATCTGCCTACACCACGATAAAATTACAGATCAGATCGTATGAACCGAAGCAGTAAAAACAAGACTAAACAAAATGCAACATAGAAGTCTTCAACCAGATTAATCTTCTTCTTCTGATATTCTTTTATACAGCAAATACTATAATGAAATTCATGAACCCAGAGCATTCAAACGTTCATTTACAGAACTTATCTCCATGTTAGTACAATTCAGACTTCTAGTCAATTTAATTTGATCTTTTCTGAATTCCATAAACATGTCTAGCTAGCACAATGAAACTGATTACTGATATACCAGCAGTTGTTACATACAAAGTTAACAAGGAATTGTGAGTATGAAATCAATCATCTTGTGCAATCTAAACAAAATGTAGACTAGATAACATTTCATTTTATCCCAACAAATAAAAGTCAACTTGTACATATGAAATTTGTACCTAACCAGAACATGGTTCAGACACAAATTGTGGCCGGTGAGCTTAGTAGCGTATAAGATGACATTTTAAAAAGTAGGTAGTCACAGTTTAAAAAAAGCCATCTTACAATTTACTTATAAACTAATGTTTTTCTTATCAAACTCATTCTCGAGCCAGTAATACCAGCAAAGAATCAAACCTCATGTAGTGCCGGAGCATCGTTAGTTCCATCTCCAGTAACAGCAACTACATGTCCCCTCTTCCTCAGTGCTTGCACGAGCAAGAGTTTATCATTTGGAGATGACCTGCCCATCACCTGATCACACAAGAAGTCAGTGTCCCTCAACAACTAGCACAAACGAACAGCAGCCAAGTTATCTAGATCACAAGTTAATTTAGAGCTCTTACAGAAATTTTGTCAGCCACTTCTAGTCTGTGTGTGTCGGACAAGGCACGGAACACCTTTCCTTCAATAAGATTAGGCTCAGAATCATCTGCATTGGATCCTAATATCCCACACTCTAAAGCTATTGCCCTAGCTGTTTGAAGATTGTCACCAGTGACCATCCGCACCTATAAAATTGTTATAACAATATTCAACAAAACTGGAACACTTGAGAAGCTGCATGGTGAAATCAACAGATAAACACAGTACAATGGCCAGAAATCCCATTTGGATCTGACCAGATTTCACAAAAGGAAAAAACTACCAGGGAGGGAAAAGGCATCCATTTCTGACGCTGGTGCTAAACTCTACCAATGTATAAGTGTCAAAATATTGATAAGCCATCACATAATCAATTAGATAAAAGTTTTAGTCCAACTCAAATTAAGATAACCATCATTTCCATACTAATGTCTGTGGGCTATCTGGAAAAGACAATAAACAAGGTCTGATATCGTAACAATATATACAAAATTTTCTAGTGTCAGAAAAATAGTTCTTGAAATGTTATCCAAACTAATGGAGCAGAACTGTGGGTGTGAACAACTAGTTCTGCACAAGATCAGAATATTTGACGGCTATATGAAAAAAAAATTCCAGCTAAAATGCCATGGAAAAATAAAAAACTTTCCTAAATAAGTATGGTAGAAAATTAAAACAGCTCTGCTTAAAATCTGCAGGAGTATCAAGAGTAGAAAGGAAGACAATACTATAATATCAGCCAGTGCTAAAACTAAATGGAAGCAGCAAAATTATTGACAAAAATTGTCTACTCCCAGATGCAAACAGCACCAATTTGCCCATATTCAAATTGGACACAAATTTGTGGTGGCAATCACGTTTAGACTTATTGCACAAACACTTTTATTTAAGATGGTTTATCTGCAACTGATGTGTTGATCCTTTGAGCTTATAAGAAAAGCCAAAAGTAAAGGAGGAAATGACGGGGCAAAAAGATGTGTGAAACAAAATATTATCAAGGATAGAAACATGCTAATTGATAACATAAATATAAGAGAAAACTGACATGAACGTGCTAGTGAGAGGTATATACCTTAACACCAGCATTAATACATAATTGAACTGCCTCTCTCACGCCAGGACGACAAGGATCCTGCATCAGAGATAAACTCACTTATTGACCAAGTAAAATAAACATGC